ACACCTGGCTGCACGCGCAGCCGGGCCCGGCGCACCTAGCGATAGCAGCAGGTGAACAGATTTGCCTCCCGAGCGAGCATGCACACACGGACCCCGGAGATCGGTCAGCCGCACCAGCTCGTCGACGGTTTCGTCGACCTCGCCTCGGCCGAAGCGCACGCGGGATGATCGCCGTATACCTGCCGTACGCACACACGCGCACACGGATGGGCGAGACACGTGCTGGTTAGCAGATGTATCTCGTATCTGACACCTGCCAACTTGCAGCAGCACAAAGACTTGGGGCAGCGGCTGCAGCTGCTCTTCTTCTTCCACAGACAAAAACGAGATTTTCATAAGTGTACCATCTTACTTTCGCGTCGATTTTTTAGTTGAGTATAAAAGCGAGGATAATTATTTGTAAGATGACTGTTGCTCGTGGAATATCTCGTTTCTAAATTAGTTAAAATGGACGGTGATGTTTGCAACTGCGCATCATGCGTAAATAGCATTGGATTCCGCGACTCACAAGCTCACGCAATAATCAATCCGGATATGACTGTTCCGCTCAGCCGTGATCGAGAGGACGAGCGCGATGATGCTGGCAGCGGCGCATTACAATTCCGCGAGTTCTCGAGACGCGACATTTAGCGGAACGGAATCCCCATCGGTTTTTCACGTCGCCGAGCAATCTCGCTCGCGGAATCCTCAGAATCCCGAGTAACGTTCGGTCCATGTCGAACGCGATAACTCATCTGCCGACGGAGAGTCCGCCATAAGTGACCGAGATACGTGCGCGAGAGCAAATTTCATCAATCTTTAGCGTGTCACGAGTGCGCCAAGAATATGACACGAAAATTACGCCTGAGATTACATTTTAAAATTACATTGACACAATTACGCGCCGCCGGTTAGTGGCACACTTGGAATAAAAAAAATATATTTCATAGCGCGTTAACAATGTTAGTAAGACAGTAATCTCAGGGTAGCTTTCCATAAACTGCTTTCCATGGGTAACTTTCCAATTATTAGGCGTTGTCAGTTTGCTTTTACTCGAGAAAGGCGCGAAATTCAGTCAACGGCGTGTCAATAATTCAGTCAGCCACTGGATTTTGCCGAATGC